AAAGATTAAAAGCCCAGATTCTTCCAACATAGACTACATAAATAGCAATAAATTAATATTTTCCACAAATATAACATTTCCAGCATGTGAAAAAAATATGGAAAACACACAAGTGTTTTTAACTGCATTTCACAGTGAAGACTTTTTTCATGTGCTACTTAAACCTCTAGTCTAAGACATGAGTGAGGTTTTGGCACCAAGCAGCCTTTTGACACTTAAAGAAAACATATCAGCCAAGAAGCTGGGTAAGCAGTGACATACCACCACTACCACCATTACCATCACCATCAAATATTTATGACTGTTTGCTGAACTGAAATACACAATACATCCCAGAAGGCATAATCAATTTTGATTGTTTCTCATAAATTCAATGTAGGCTCATATGGCATCTCTTCTACATCGGAATACACAACATTAGTGACTTCTACATGTAATTTACTAACAGAGGGAAAAAATTAAATACAGTGAGACTTATAGAAACGTGAAATCTGTGGAAATTTTAAAAGCAGCTTCTTTGCACTATTTTAGCTAACAAATCTGTCTTTCTAGTTAATAGAAATAAGAGGCAAAATCTGGCTGGTGGCTCACACCTGTAATACCAGCATTTTGGAAGGCCAAGGTGGGAGAATTGCTTGAGACCAGGAATTCAAGACCAGTCTAGGCAACATAGCAAGCCCTTGTTTCTACAAAAAAATGGAAAAATTAGCCAGATGTGATGTTGCATGCCTGTACTCCCAGCTACTTGAGAGGCTGAGGCAGAAGGATCAACTGCGTCCAGGATTCAAGGCTGCAGTGCACTGTGATCATGCCACTGCACTCCAGCCTGGGCAACAGAGTAAGACTCCAACTCAAAAAAATAAAATAAGAGGGAAAAACTCTAAATATCACAAAAAAGAAAGTATTTGAGGGTACTTATTTATTAAATTGAGTAAACGTGCCTATTTATTAAAACTCTCTCAGAAGGTGCCATATTGGACATAGTCTTAAGTGTGGGCTTAAAAGTAGCGTAGTTTCTTTAATTTTCTAAATTTCATACTGACTTCCTCATACATAAGTGATAATGTCATGCATTTATTCTATACTTCTATCTTTAATATAAGCTTCCTCCGTTGTCATAATATCCCATTTATAGCTAGAAAAAAAACAAAACCTGGATTGATGCAATTCGGTAGCTCTTCTACAAGGTAGAGTGTCTGTAGAATCCTGAGTGTCTCCCCCAAAAGCCAAAAGGAGCCACGCTCCTTCACCATACTCAACAAGAAATATATTTTATTTTGTTGACTTAATAATATTCAGGAGGAGCAGCAAGGACATAAAAAGGCTACAGTGGCCAACCCTGGTTGTTGTGGAGAAGACATCATGTCCTGATCATACATAAGCACGATATTCCGAATTTCTCCTGGTTACCAGTTTGAGAATGGCTAGGAGGGAAATGATACTTGGAGGACAGGAAGAACTCACACAGGCAACACTATCCTATTACCCAACATCTTAAAAGACTTAACAATCTAATTAGATGCTACTGGTAATTTCTAGATACTATTACATATTTTCAAGTCAACAGATGTGACAGTCACTTACTATTTCACTACTACAAGTAAATATTTTAGGCAAGAGTTGTATTACATTCTATCTCAAATCATTCCCAAACTGAGAAATATCTCAGCTTCCAGGGTCCAATTCTTAGAGGACATTTCAACTATAGCCAGTGATCAAATAGGAATTGCAGGCTTGTAATTGAATGACACAAGACGACCATCTTTTTGATAATTTTAAAGCTTGCTGTCATTACTATTTGATGTTTACACATTCAGGTTCATGCAGTAAATTTTACAGGAGGTATCAAAAAAATTATATATGTACATACAGTATCTGGCTTTCTAAAAAGTTTAGAGGATATCCATACCTTTTTCATACACCCATATACAATACCTCTGAGAGGTAAGAAACATGCTTTTTTCTTAATTTTCTCCACCTAATTATGAAATTCCTTCAAAGAACACAATTCAAAACAAGAGAGTAGGTCTCTATTATGGTAATTAAAAGTAGAATATGTGAGCAAGGAAAAACAGAACAAAAACAAAAATGACAGATACAAATGGGCAATAAGAGAAAGATAAGCATGAAATTAAACAATTACAGAACAGAAAACAAAATTCAAAGCATCAGGTGCTTAACAGTTCTTCTATCTCTCTCTGTCCTTTCCATTCCCTAGGAATTCATCACACAACCCTGTCTATAATGCACCACCTGGTTCTCTCCAGTCATTATCAGTTTAAATGCCTTCTCTGTTCATGCCTTAAAGAATCCTGAGTGCCAAACTCCAATGTATTCTTTCTGCCCATCTAATATACCAATAATTTACTCTCATCTAAGTGCAACACAAAAATCTTCATACCAAAATCAGTTTTACTTATATATGGCAAAATCTTAAATTATATAAAGTATATATAATTTATATATATAATTTATATATACTTTATAGATATAATTATATATAATTTATATAATTTAAGATTTTGCCATATATAAGTATAATTGCATATGTGCTATATAAATATATTAATATTTAAATTTATTTTTATATATTACATTTTTATATATTAAGATTTTATCATTATCATCTACTGTTAGTAGATAAAGTCCATATCATCCAGGAAGAAAAATGTCATCTATACCCAAAACGTTTCTCAGTGCATATGGACTTAATATGACAATACAAAGTAAAAACCAATTATCTTTTTGCATACAGGACTATACGGAGGGGCGACAAAGTCACAGCAGGACAAGAGTGGGTAAGCAAACTGACCAACTGCATATGCTTTTCCCTGTGTGGGTTAGGATTAGAGTACAGATGTCTCAGGGAGATATTGAATCAAAATCTATAGACAGCCGGGCTTGGTGACTCAGCCTGTAATCCCGCGCATTTGGGAGGCTGAGGTGAGTGGATTGCCTGAGCCCGCGGGTTCGAGACCCGCCTGGGCAGAGAGACCTCATCTCTACAATAAAATCAAAAATTAGCCGGGCGTGGTAGTGCATGCCTGTAGTTCCGGCTACTTGGAAGGCTGAGGCGGAAAGATCGCTGGAGCCCAGCAGGTCGAGGCTGCGGTGGCCGGGAGCGGCCACTGCACTCCAGTCTGGGCGACAGAGTGAGACTCCAACTCAAAAAAAAAAAAAAAAAAATCTATAGACACCACTAGGCTCACTTCACCAGGCAATTCCTAGATAACTAACATTCTGGTGTGGTAGAAAAAGCAAGAAAACTCAAAACGGTCAGATGAATTAGAAACGTGCAGAAGTGAAGATCAAATACACGAACCTCTAGAATACCCTAACTTTATTTACCAAAAAGAAGTTGAAGCCACTGACAAACATGCCTAGAATTTTTTTCAGCTCTGATGAAAAACAAATGAGCCCCAAAGGAAATACAATAGAAACCTATTTTTGGCTATTAAAAAAAAAAGGAGAAGCCTTGTGTTTCTCAGTAGCCAACTAAATCAGAACTAAAAATCCACTGGCATCATTTCCTATCACAAATTGTTGCTATACTTGGTTCACTGGGAACTTTGACCTTTTAGAAGCTGGGTACATCTGTTATGCAGCACAAGCCTTGCTGATTGGGTGCCACCCTTCGCATACCAAGATGATGCATCTAAAACCAAGGCTTTAAAATAACTGATTTTCTTAACTTCAGGGTTACTCAAGGGTATTAATATGTTACACTGTGTTGTGCATAATTAATCATTAAAGATTACTAAACTATCCTCAGCAAACATTGACCTTATTTAGTGAGATGTAAAGAGAGCAATCTTTATATTTAGGTAGAGTTGCTTAGTGCTCCTCAATTTTCTTCAAGAGGCTTAAAAAGGATGGCTATCATTAATAATTCAAAAAACAACAGGTGCTGGTGCAGTTGCAGAGAAAAGAAAATGTCTCTACACTGTTGGTGATAATGTAAGCTAGTTCAGCCTCTATGAAAAACAGCGTGTTGATTTCTAAAAGAACTAAAAATTGAGCTTCCATATAGCAATCACTCTCCTGGGAATATAGAGGAACATAAATCACTCTACCAAAAAGACACCTGCACACGCATGTTTACTGCTGCACTATTCACAATAGCAAAAGCATGTAATCAACCCTGGTTGCCCATCAAAAGTGGACTGGATAAAGAAAATGTGGTACATATACATGATGAAGTATTATGCAGCTATGAAGAAGAACAAAATCATGGCCTTTGCAGCAACTTGGACACGGTTGGAAATCACCATACTAAGTGAACTATCACAGAAACAAAGAACTGAACACTGGATGTTCTCACTCATAAGTGAGCCCTGAACACTAGTCACATTAGCACAGGGATGGGAACTGCTGGAGGTGTGAGCATGTGGCAACACAAAGGGTACCTAATCTACTACTGGGGGAGTGAGGACCACCTAGAAGCCCAAACTTCACCCTCATGCAGCCTACTTACATAGTAAATCTTCACTTGTAAACCACAACTCCATAATTAATAAATAAATTATAGAAAAAATTTAAAATGAATAAAGTGGATGAGTTCAGTCACCATTAGTTAGCAAAGTCCAGTGTTACCAATAAGCCCCAAAGACCAACAAGGCTTTCTCTTGATTTACCCCTAATTTATTTTAACAGCCGAACTCTTTTTCACTTCTTTTATTCTTTCTCTTCCAAAATCTACATGAATAACTGAAGATAGCATACATACAACCTTACAAGCACCAATGAAGCAAAGGGTTTAAATGATGCAATATAAATCATTTTTTTAAACATTGTCATATTGACATTTGGAGAAGTTCAGCACCAAGAACAATATAACAGTACAAGTTTATCATGAAACGTATTTCTTAAAATACCTTTGTGTGATTTGCTTAAAATAGTGATCAAAAACTGCAAAGAGAAAAAAATCTGACAGAAATAAAAGTATAATGATTTTGAATTTCTTTCACTGAAATTGATGACAACTTTTATAGTTAACCCACCTCAAGTTTAGGTAAGTCAGCATCTGCAGATTAACGATGGCTTCAGGAATGACTCTGATACAGTTATGATACAGATTAAGAATTTCCAGTGATACAAAATGGCACAATTCCATTGGGACTTCAACCAGTCTGTTTTTAGATAAATCTACGAGAAAGGGAAAGAATATTTTGTTAATAATCTTCAACATAATTAATACAGTCCTATAAACTATGAATACTGTTATTCTTAACATTATAAATTCAGACCCACGTTATCCTTTTTTGTACCTCTGTTACTACAGCATTTGTGATTACTATTCCCTGACAAATTCAGGGGCACATAGAATAGGGAAAAGCAAAATTACCACTAAAACTTTTTAGCTTTCTGAAGGAGAACTTTTTACTCCATCTAAAAAATTATCTCCAACGCATTTTACCCTAGACAAGTATGTAGAACTCTACCCTTGAATATATCTGAATACATATATTTACCATAACTATTAATCCAACTTTGCATTTATAAAGCATATTGTCTCTCCACCTGCGGTATAATATCTTTTATACATAAGAAACATTATATCCTCTGCAAACATACAATAGGCACTAAATCTTATTCACTAGAAGTACTTAGTACCTATAATTTATAAGACCAAAATAAATCAGTGGTATCTATTAAGAACCAACACTGTGTGTGCTGTACAATCAGTGGTAAAACTGGACACCACTAGCCAAATGTACCAAATATGGCAACAGTGGTCCACAGAACAATGTAACCATACAATGTAGTTTACAGTATTGCCATCCCAACAATAGCATTATAGAACAGTCCTTGATATCTAAATGGGAATTCTAGACATGACTGTCAAATGCCATATGACATAGAATATAAGGAAAGAGCTGCCTCTCTTGAAAACAACTCAATAATAATAAATCACGGACAACCCCTTTGGGTCTCCTCCCACTGTGGAGCTTTTCTGTCCTCTCTAAATAATGATGATGATGATAATAATAATAACAATAATAATAAACCTCATTATGTATCAGAAGGAACAGTATGAACTGAAGATGTTCAGTAAATAATACGTTACATATAATTAAGTAAACAACACATTCTGACCAAAAGAAAATATAAACATAGAAAACTTAAACAGATCAATACCATAGATGAAATAGATGTCAAAGAAGTACCCTCCTTCCGATAAATAACTACACAAAAAAACAAAAATAGGACTAGATGGCTTTGGGAGGAGAATTCTAACAAACATTTAAGGAATAATTGTGATACCTGAACTATTCCAACCCATATAAAAAGAAGGAACGTTTTCAAATTCTTATTTAAAAATGAAATATAATATTGAGACTATCACCTAATAGAGGTGCACAACAGTGAAGCTGCATATGACTCTCCCTTCTACAGATTCATGCACATCTTAAATTTAAAAAGTAGTAAATAGGATTGAGAAGAACATAAAAAGATTAACATGCTCTAAATGAGTGAGGTTTATTCTAAGAATATAAGGAACTTATATTGTTTAAGCCATTAACCATATAGATAGACCAAAAGTGAAATAGTATATAATCACCTCCTTAAATATGAGAGGCATTTGATAAAACACCATATTTATTTATTTATTTTATTTTTTTATTTTTATTTTTTGAGTTGGAGTCTCACTCTGTCGCCCAGACTGGAGTGAAGTGGCCACTCCCGGCCACCGCAGCCTCGACCTGCTGGGCTCCGGCGATCCTTCCGCCTCAGCCTTCGAGTAGTCGGAATTACAGGCGCACGCTACCACGCCCGGCTGATATTTTGATTTATTGTAGAGATGAGGTCTCGCTGCCCAGGCGGGTCTTGAACCCATGGGCTCAGGCAATCCTCTCACCTCAACCTCCCAAAGGCACGGGATTACAGGCTGAGCCACCGAGCCCGGCTCCATATTTACTTTTAAAACAACCTTACTGAGGTATACTTTATATATTATTAACGTGGTCCATTTCACATTTACATCTCAATGATTTCTAGTAACTTTGCTAAGTGGTGCATTCATTTCCATAAATCAGTTTTAGAACACTTCACATTAATCCTTTTTTGTGAGTCAGGGTCTCACTCTGTCACCCAGGCTGGAGTGAAATGGTATGATCATGGCCCACCACAGCCTCAACTTCCTGGGCTCAAACAATTTGCCTCAGCCTCCTGAGTAGCTGGGACTACAGGCACATGCCACCATACCTGGCTAATTTTTTTATTTTTATTTTGTATAGAAACAAGGTCTCACTATGTTGCCTAGACTGATCTCCAACTCCTGGTCTCATGCAGTCCTCCCACCTCAGCCTCCCAAAGTGCTGGGATTACAGATGTGAGCCACTACATCCAGCCTATATTCTTAACACAACTGCCTAAAAAAGGAGAGTAGATGGATATTTTCTCACATAACTTATATATATATGTATATTCAAACATATGAGGGAAAAAAGAGAGAGAAAGAGAAAATGCTTTTATTTTTCACTAAATCACAAGAGACTAAAAATGTTGCCACTGAAGTCAAGAAATCACTTTTAAATTGCTACTACTATTGGTGATTTTTCAGGAGATGCTAGTCATAGATATAAGATGAGGAAGAAAGAAGAATCAAAATTGGAAAGAAGTTAAAATTATTATTTACAGATAATGTGATGGCTTTCCTGGAAAATCTAAGAGTATCAACAAAAAACTATTACAAATGACGTAAGAATACAATAAAGATGCAAGGCAGAAAATTAATATACTGAAACAATAGTTTTCACAAACACTAGCAAAATGTCACAAAGGAAGAAATATAATATATGATAATAGCAAGAGGGTGAAGCACTTGGAAAATCTTAAGGATATACAAAGTTTATATGAGGGAAACTTTAAAATGTTACTAAGAAACCCACACACAAATTAAAGCAATTGAAAAGACAGTCAATGATGTTAAATAATACTCAACATTTAAAAAGGCTTCTCTCTAAGTTATACCTATATGAATTAATGAACTCCCAATTTTTAAAAATCCTTCTAGGATTTCAGAAGGGGCATTACATAGGTTGATTATAACATTCACATGGTAAAATAATGCAAAAATAATAAGGCATTTCTCAAAATAGAGGATCTATGAGGGGAACCAGCTCTGCTAGACATTAAAGACACATTCTACAGCAGCATGGGGGATAGATGGGTCAGTAGACAGAACAAATCACAAAGACAGGAAACAGGTCACAGAGACACATACGGAAAGCAAGCATACAACAAAGGTGGCATTTCAAATCAATAGGGAGAAGATATAAGGTCAGAAAACAGTTTGAGAAAACTGGACAGCCATCTGAAGCCAACAATAAAGAATGTCAATCTACCTCACACTTGTTATCTCAATAATTCCTAGATGAATCAAAAAATTTTGAAAAGTGAAGCCCGGACAACATATGGGCAATTTGTATTTATGACCTCAGAATGGGGAAGGCCTTCCCAAGAAAAGCATAAAATAAGATTTACAAGTTCAACACATAAAAGCAAATGTACAACATTTTTAAAACAAATGAAAACTTTGCCATAAATATATATGACAAGGAATGGGGGAGGGTGGGAAGTTCTACAATTCATAAACCCAGCAGGCTATTTTTCAGACACATAAAGAACTCTGTCTGGGTGTAGTGGCTCACGCCTGTAATCCCAACACTTTTGGAGGCTGAGTTGGGAGGATCACTTGAGTCCAGGAGTTCAAGACCAGCCTGAATAACATAGCAAGACTTCAACTCTACAAAAAAGACCCCCAAAACATTGGCTAAGCATGGTGGTGTATGCCTATAGTCCCAGCTACTCAGGAGGCTGAGGCAGAAGGACTGCCTGAGCCCAGGAGATCAAGGCTGCAGCGAGTGAGCCGTGATCTGTGCCACTGCACCCCAACCTGGACAACAGAGGGAAACCTCAACTCAAAGGAAAAAAAAAGAACTTCTAGCTAGGCTCGTGTCTCAGCCTGTAATCCTGCGCCTTTGGGAGGCTGAGGTGAGTGGATTGCCTGAGCCCGCGTTCGAGACCCGCCTGGGCAACTTGGCTAGACCTCATCTCTACAATAAATCAAAAAATTAGCCGGGCGTGGTAGCGCGCGCCTGTAATTCCGGCTACTCGGAAGGCTGAGGCGGAAGGATTGCTGGAGCCCAGCAGGCGAGGCTGCGGTGGCCAGGAGCGGCCTCTGCACTCCACTCTGAGCAACAGAGTGAGACTCCAACTCAAAAAATAAAAATAAAAAAATAAAAAATAAAAGAACCTCTATAGCCAGTAAGAATAAGACAAACAGTAGCAAAAAAAAAGGAAAATGAATATAAATAGATGGCTCACAGAAAAGAGGATACAAATGGCTCTTAAACATGAAAAAATGATAAACTCATTCAAATTATAGCAATACAAGTTACAATGACATGGGACAGCACTTTTCACCTATTAAACTGGCGAATATCAAAAAGTTTGATAAACACATATAATGCTCACAGTGATGTAAATGAAGAACATTTTAGTAATATCTGTCAAAATTACAACTATGCATACACTTTAACCTAGCACTCTTTCTCATCTACTGGTATTATTATTATTATTATTATTATTATTCTCCTTCTCCTTCTCCTTCTTCTTTTTTTTTTTTTTTGGTAGATACCAGGTTTCACTATGTTGCCCAGGCTGGTGTTGAACTGCTAGCTTCAAGCAATTCTCCCACCTTGGCTTCTCAGTGTGCTGGGATTACAGACATGAGCCACCATGCCCAGCGAAATCTACAGATATTCTTATACACGTGCAAATGATGCATTTTTTAGCACTGAAATAGAAAAAAATAAAAAGCAAATAAAATATCAGAAATAGAAAAAGATAAAAAGCAAATAAAATATCAGAAATAGAAAAAGATAAAAAACAAATAAAATATCAAAGCATTGTTAAATATGAAAATATTATTAATAAGTACCATAAGTAATACTAAAATTAAGTCAAGTAATAAATATTAATTAATATAATATTAATTATATTTCACATGATGGAATGTAACATTAAACATTATATTCCATAATGAGATATTAATACTATGCAACCATTAAAATGACTGAAACAGTTCTATATGTGCTGACTTGAAACACACTTCAAGATATATTGTGGTGTTTTTTGTT